AACATGGATAACAATCGGACTTTTGGACTATTGAAAACAAAGTTACAACAATCCCCCTAGAGGAGTCTCGGGACATTACAAAGATGGTCGTAAGTGGAAAAATACCTTCGGAATTTTACAGGACTGGTTATCTTCTGGGAAAGCTGCAAAACTGAAACAGTATTTTGTCTACAGGGTGTTCAGACTAAAGGAGACAATAGAATTTTCTATTGAAGAAAGGAAGGGACTGAACGCAAGTTTTTGTTCCTGAATAACAATGACCCCTGCAGAGCTACTAAATTTTTGAATTAGAACGTTTTAGCAGCGGAACAAGACGAAACTGGACTACAACATGGAAAGAACAATGGGGGGAACTTCACAGTTTTAAAGATTAAAAATAACTTTAAAAATAATTCTAAAAAGAAAAAACCTGCAAGGAACTGGGGCAAAAATGTGATTTATGGATTTAAGAACTCCAGGCAGACAATATAGATTGGTGGACAGGGGGAAATTAAACCGGGGAAGGGAGGGGGAGAATTAGAATCCAAAGGCTTGTCAACTATTTTTTGAATTGGTTTTCTTTCTTCTACTATACTTTCTATTTTCTATATTTCTATTTTGTGGGGTGTTTTTACTATTAAAAAAAAAAGGGAAATTGTGGAATGAAAATGGGGTGGGCCCTGGGGAGAGAACTTTTGTTTTTTTTTCTTCTATTAAGGGTATTGATGAGGATTGTATAAATTTAAATTTGAATAATGGGTTAAACAAATTAAGTTTTAAATTTGAAGTGAGAGCTTGTGGAGCCAACAATATGAAAGGGGAATATGGTAGGGGTGGGGGAGGGGGGGAGTCCCAGAAAGTGGATGTCTGAAAATAAGGTTTTAAATGTACTTTTATCTTTACTTTACTTTCTGTATTTTGAAAATTGTAATAAATATTATTTAAAAAAAAAAAAGGAATTAAGGGAAGCGGAAAAATCAGTGAAGTTTTGAGATCTGTGGTTCAAATCAGCATTGTTTGGAATGCTTCCGTCAGCCATCTTTGTTCAGAATGGCTTCTAGCTATATCTAAACATAGATGAAAGCCTGCTATTTGATCTCAGGAACCATCATGCGCAATCTGGTTACAATATTTTAAGAGGTGTCCAAATTCATAGCACACAAACAACTTTCCAAAATATATAGCAGTTAACAGTAAAATCACTGATTATAGGTCAGAAAGCTAAAAACAAGTTGGCCTCACTCTCTTTGAAATATAGTCAGCAGTTAAACAATATGCATTATAAAACAAAACTACAGATTAAAAATTATAGTTATATTCAGCTGTGTCTTTCTCAGGGTTGACCTGCTGAAATGAACCGAGGTAAGTCATGTCGATTTAACTTCATTTGGTCTACTCTGAGTAGGACTCTTGTTTACCACTACCCATAGATTGTATCCAGTCTTAGTCAAGCTCAGAGTAGACCCACTGAAGTTAATGCACTTGTCTATCATAGGTCCATTAATTCCAACGGCTCAGCACTGAGTAGAACTTAGTTTAATACATCCCTGTGCATCTAGGTATAGTCATGTCCATACATTTTAATGGGTCTCTTCTGAGTTGTACTAACTGGACACAGCCCACAGCAAGTAAGTGACCAAATAGAGACTTCAAAGCTATTTAAATGTGTTATTGTTATTATTCTTAGTAAGCTAAAGTGGGGCTAAATGATTTGACCCCCCCCCCTTTTGTCAGTTGCTTATAGCACGGTCTTGTGCTTGCTTACTCAAGAGTTAAGTCAGAAAGTTTTACATGGGAGCATTTTCCCAGTCACAACGTAAGCCTCAACAGGGACAGATCCACTCATTTAAAACACACCCAACACACATTTAAAGCCCACAATTACTCTTCAAAGAATCATGGGAGCCAGGGATACAATTCCCATCACCCTTAATGAACCACAATTGCCAGGATTCAGGGGGGGGGGCGGCTAAATGTGCTTTAAATGTAGGATACCTGTTCCAGAGGTAAGCTCTCTTCAATAGAACTTATTCCCAGGTAAGCAGAATTAAAGTTATGACTTCGTTTATTTCTTTTTTAGGGTGTGTGAAGGTATGCTTGTTTTATTCATTTTCTTACAGGGAAACCCCACCTTGCAGGGTGCACGGGACACACACAGTTATTTATTTCAGTTTTGCTTAAAAAAAGTAATTTATCCAAACAAACAGTTTGTATGGGATGGTGAATTTCTCATCAACCTGTATTTCTTTTGCGCCTCTGTTCCCTCTCTCTCTTTCTCTCTGAGCCTTTTCAGGCAGTGTCTCTCAGACCCAAATATAATAACCTCTGTTGCTGTCTCTTTTGCATATGTTGAGTGTCAGCTGCAGCAGATGTGACCCCCTTTCCACACACAAACCCCCCTCCCCGGGCGGCCGCCGCTCCTCTCCTCTCTCCCCACCGTCATATATCTTGCGGCGCTCCTCGCCATTCAGGAATAAACATGTGTAATGTGCTTGATGGTGAAAATAATTCCCCACCTTATCTTCGCTTTGTTCTCTTGCCTGCCTGCCACTTGTCACACAGGGTGATACGATGGCTCCTTTTGTGCTTCCTCCCTCGCCGCCGCGTAAGCCCCCATATGCTATAAATGGGTTTGGGGGCCCGCCCCCATTTTTTAACAAGATGGCAAGCTGAAGACGGGGGGTGGCTGGGTGGGTGAGAAAAGAGGCGCTTTCCTCCCTCTCCCCAGTCTAAAAATACGGGCTTACAAGAGGCCTTGTGGATTTTAAGTAGGGGTCAGCAAACTTTTTCAGCCGTGGGCTGGTCCACTGTCCCTCAGACCTTGTGGGGGGCCAGACTATATTTTGGAAAAAAAAAATGAATTCCTATGCCCCACAAATAATCCAGAGATGCATTTTAAATAAAAGCACACATTCTGCTCATGTAAAAACACCAGGCAGGCCCCACAAATAACCCAGAGATTAAAATAAAAGGACACATCCTACTCATGTAAAAACAGGCTGATTCCTGGACCATCCGTGGGCCGGATTTAGAAGGCGATTGGGCCAGATCCGGCCCCCGGGCCTTAGTTGGCCTACCCATGATTTTAAGCATTAAGAAAAACCAAACAGACAGCCTATTTCCACCCCTGCACACAAATATTTATGTAATGTTAGGGGATATGTGTCCCTACTTGACCCTTAAGGCAGGCACGGGGAGCCCTTTCCCCCCCAAGGTGTGCATTCTGTCATGGGAAATGTTCTGAGGGCCACATCAGTCATCAAGACTCTGTGATTGGCAGGTGTGACTTTGTTGGTGTCAACCACCACCGTGTATTGCATGGTTGGCGCTGACCTGCAGCAGAGCCTTCTTGGTGGTGGTTCCACCTGCTTGTGGAATGCCCTCCCTCGCAACATGCATCTCTCTCTCTCTCATTATTGACTTTTCAGTGGAATTCAAGAGGCATTCTGGTTCACCCAGCCATTGGATGGCTGAGAGAGCCATGTTTCCGGCAACCCTGAAATCATCTGTTACGAGACTTTGTTCATCAATTTAAGCAGCTTTTATAGGGTTTCTAGTGATCTAGTTTTAGTTATGCTTTTGCCGCCCTGGGCTCCTTTGGAAAGAAGAACAATGGGATATAAAATAATGATAATGGCCAGACACGCAACAGTCTCCATCTAGCCAAGCAAAAGGTAGACTATCTCAGTTCAAGGGTGCTTTTCCCAGCCAGGTAAAATCACCAGAGGGTTTGAAGCCAGGCCAGCGAGGGATGCGACCTTAGCAGGATCCCCAGGGCCGAATTGAGGAGCCTTCAGGGCCAGGTTGGTTCCACCCTCCAAAGCCTGAGGTTCCTCAACCCTGAATTAAGGCAGGTTGAGAGGAGCTGTACCTTAGTGGCCGACTGCCCCCTTTGCATGCAGAGGGCTCCAAGCTAAGCCCCTCGCACCTCTGGCTTAAAAGGCTCCTGCAGGAGGTGATAGGATACACCTGCCTTTCCCTGAAGCCCTGGAGAGCTGCTGCTGGTCCGAGTAGGCAGTATTGAACTTGATCAGTGTTTCCCAAGGTTGGGTCTCCAGCTGTTGTTGGACTACAGTTCTCATCATCTCTGACCACTGGTCATGCTAGCTAGGTATGAGTTGTAGTCCAAAAAAACAGCTGGAGGCGCAAGTTTGAGAAACCCTGGACTAGATGGGCTGGTAGTCTGAGCTGGTTTAAGGCAGCTTCCTACATTCCCACTCCCTCCCCCTAAGAGCAGTGGTGGGGAACCGGTGGCCCTCGCAGGTGTAGTCGAACTCCAGTTCCCATCATCCTCCCTTGGCCAGGGATGATGGGAGTTTGTAGTTCAGCAGAAGGTGAAGGTCCTTCAGTTCCGCACCCCTTTCCTAGGACTCTTTCTTACCTTCCTTTTGTTGGGAGTTCAACAGAAGGGATCATTTCGTTTGCAACTTAAGTTAATTCTGTTCTCCCAAGGCGGGTGGGAGGGGCAGAGGTGTTGCTTAGCAACTAACCAGAGTGGCATGATCTTTGTGGAGGTAACACATGTTCTGCTTGGGTGTCTAGTTGAGGCAGGTTTAGTTGCACCTAACTCTTCTCTCAAAAAGGCAGGCCCCTGAAAGGCAAAAGCTCTCTGTTTATTTCTCCTCGAACGGTGCACTGTTCTTGTTTGGTTTTGCTCCATGAAGCATTAACCGAGATTTCTTTCCTCTCTGGGCTCCCTCTGCGTTATTCAAGCAACTTTGCTAGCACCCTTTGCATGTGCAAAGATGTGCAAATTTATTCACATTGTTTGTTCATTCGTTTTCTTCCCGGACGAAGAACTTAAAAGTGCAGTGGCAAATAGCATGGTCTTCCTGCTGCCATCGGAGAAGTCACATGGGGGGGGTGTGAACGTGTCAAAACTGCTGCCCCACCTGCTGCCTGCAAGGTCCTCGATTATTCTCTCTCTCCACACACCCACCCTCCAAATCTCCTGTCTTTGAAGCTTTTCTGGTAGTGACTCTTTGGGAAACATTAAATGCTATTTCCATTTTGTTCCGCAGATCACAAAGCCCTCAAGGCTTTGCTGAGGACCCTGGTGGATCTCCAGGATGAGCTTTTGCACCAGTATTCGGGCACGAGACATCTGGTAGATGGAGAGCAGGGAAAAGAGGAGAGGTAAATGCAAAAACAATGGCAATTCTGTTGACCTCAGGGATGAGGCTGGGGAAGCTTTCCCCTCTGGCTGGAAAGGGGAAAGGCCCATAGCTTAGTGGGTAGAGAATCTGCTGGTTCGATCCCCGGCCTCTCCGGTTAGGGCTGGGAAAGACCCCTGTCTTAAACCTTGGGAGTTGCTGCCGGCCAGTGTAGACAGTACTGAGGTAGATGGACCAGTGGCCTGCCTTGTTATAGACCAGCTTCCTTTGTTCCCAAGTTCCATGTCAGTCGGAGGGCAAAAAGTGGGTGAAGCGATTGGTTCTGGAACTGACAGCTGTACAATAAGCTACACTCCACCCCTGGAAAAGTTAAAGAGGTTTTTATTATGTGTTTTGTCTTCTCATTTTGTATGTTTATGTTGTGAACGGCCTTGTGATCTTCAGACGACCCGGGCTGCATGCAAATTTAATAATTAAATGATAATAATTAGAGTTTTTTTGCATTCTGCCCCACCCTGCCCCTATGCGTCTCTGCACCCAGGCATGCAAGAGGCATTATGATCTCAGTTCAAGAGCACTTTCCAAATGCTGTAACTTTTCCTCCTTTATGGAAGTAGGTGTTGAAGGAGGGGGGGGGAAGGAGATTTGTCAAGTAATCCTCAGGGGGAGAACCCAGCAGTTAGGGACTTACCCAGAACTGTCATAAGGGAAGATGAGGTTGTGGGGGGGGGCTCTGAGAGCACTTGTGAGTTGGCTGCTCTCATCTGGGGAAGATTTCGGAACAAGGGTGCTGCATTGCTCCGGACCAAGTTCAGAGTGCTAATATTGGTATATATAGAGCCCTTAACAGGTTGGGACCAGTTTCCTTGCAGGATTGCTTTACCCCATATGTGCCAGTTCAGCTCCTTGGGTCTGCAGAACTTGCACGGCTATGGGTCCCACATAGAAATCATTCCACACTGGTGAGAATTCAACTTTTGCTGTGGCAGCATGAACACTCCCTGCCTGTTGACATTAGGCAAGCGTCTTTGCCATTTCCGGTGCCTGCTTAAAACATTTCTGTTTAGGCAAGCCCATCCAGATGTGTAGATGTCATATGTGTTTTATCCCTCTTAAGCCAATGTTGCTTTTCATCACCTTCTGGATATGCTTAAATACTTGTTTTTTAACCCATTTTTAAACCGATAATTTCAATGTTTTATATTTGTTGTAAGCCACTTAGAGGTTGTCCCCCATCCCTGTCCCCCCCCCCCCAAATCATATAGTGGTATATTGCTAAATAAATAAATGCATTGATTTACATGTTCTTGATCTTGCTTTTTTTTTTAAGCAACGAAGAGATCCCAAGCGGCGATGACGACGATGACCAAGCTGAGAGGGAAGACAAGGAGAGGAAGAGGCCACGCAAGCGTAAGCTGGGAATGGACGATTACCCAGAGTTCGCGGCCAAGCGGTTTGCCGACTTCCGGTCCTATCGGAACAGCACGCTGCAGAAGTGGCATGATAGGACCAAGCTGGCTTCTGGGAAGCTGGGGAAGGCAAGAGTCGCTCCTCTCTTTTGGGGGGTGGGCGCAGGTCATAGGCCACGTGTGGCTTGTGGCTGCCTTGCAGTGCTAAGATCCCATTGTCAGGGAAAGCTGCATCTTGTGTAGATCCCCACTTTGAAAACCTAAAAGGGAAAGAAAAAGCTACATAAACAGGAGCGTGCGTGTAAAAATGCATTGTGAACTGCCCTGAGTGCTATAGGTGAAAGGCGGTATAGAAATTCAATGCATACTTACATACATACATACATACATACATACATAATAGCACCTGCATCAAGAAGTTGAAACTAGTAATAGTAGTAAGAAGAAGAAGAGGAGGAGGAGGAGGAGGAGGAGGAGGAGGAGTTTGGATTTGATATCCTGCTTTATCACTACCCTAAGGAGTCTCAAAGCGGCTAACAATCTCCTTTCCCCTCCTCCCCCACAACAAACACTCTGTGAGGTGAGTGAGGCTGAGAGACTGCGGAGAAGTGTGACTAGCCCAAGGTCACCCAGCAGCTGCATGTGGAGGAGCGGGGAATCGAACCCGGTTCACCAGATTACGAGTTTACCGCTCTTACCCTGCCCATCTGGCCGGGCCTCCCCAACCACTCTGGGCGACTCCCAACAGAATATAAAAAACACGATAAAACATCAAACATTAAAAACTTTCCTAAACAGGGCTTGTAGCCTTATTGGAGTTCACCGATTGGGTCTGCGTTGCTCCGTGACAGGAGGAAGGAAGTCAAAATGACACCGGGTTGGTTCAAAGAAAGAGTTTATTCTGCTCTCCGGATAGCAGAAGGCACTTGCGTGGTGAGTCCACAGCAAGTCCAAAGAAATGACAAGTTTCATGCAGTATATATACCCTCCAGGCACCCTCTCCCTCCTTCCAACCACATCAGCTTGTATACGTAGGTTGACATCACATATGTTCCTGCTCCGGCACTCTTAACCATAAGAGGGATTTCCTTCCTGCACTCCTGACCATAAAAGGATATTCCTGTTCCTACTCCTATCTTGGAGCAAGAGGTCACTACTTCCGAGAACATGCTCTGGCGTTAGTCCCAGACTTGGGTCTCTGCGTCATTTGTGGTCAGGACATAAGATATGTCTGTGTCTGTTCTACTGGTAAAGTCAAGGCCAGTCTTGCTGTCAAACTGATAAGGGAGAGCACTGTGTTCTTGTTTTGCATTTGCTCAACGGCTAAAGTTTATGCATTTTAGCTAAGGAGAAATGGGGATTTTGGTGCAGTTTAAAAACTGCCTGCACAGTCAGTTTTGGGTTTTGGAAACCCATTCCTTCAGGCTGCCTTCAGATGTCTTCTAAAAGTCAGGTAGTTGTTTATTTCCTTGACATCTGACGGGAGGGCGTTCCACAGGGTGGGCACCACTACCGAGAAGGCCCTATGGCTGGTTCCCTGTAACCTCACTTCTTGCAGGGAGGGAACCACCAGAAGGCCCTCCTTGGAGCTGGACCTCAGTGCCCGGGCTGAACGATGGGGGTGGAGATGCTCCTTCAGATGTCTCTGGGAAAATCCTTGGCTGACAATTTAGGAAGGAGGGTTAACTAATTGGAGGGAACTGAAAATGCTCTCTGGTCCAGACATCTATTGGAGACGGATAACTGAAATCGTGAGTTAAAGCCTCACTCACGTAGGAAATACTTTCCAGCTTATCCACTGGCACAGAAAGATTGGGGCAGGGGAACGGAAGATGGCTTTCCCTGCATTTGTCTGACCTTGGTTAATGTCCTTCCAGGGTTTTGGTGCCTTTGAGCGTTCCATCCTGACCCAGATCGATCACATCTTGATGGACCGAGAGAGGTTGCTCCGGCGGACGAGGACCAAGCGGTCAGCCTACAGGGTACTGGGGAAGCTGCAGCCAGCCCCTGAGCCGTTGCCAGCGACTTTGCCAGGACAGGCGGTAAGCTGGAGATTTGGGTGGGTGGGCTGCGGTGGGGGGGGGGGAGTGAGGAAGGAAACAGATTGGCTGCTGCAGTTTGAGAGCAAGGCACCTTTTTGGTTTTGAGAAGATCGTTGGAAGAAGGCAGGCGGAGAAGGAATTTTGTAACGCAGCGGAGTGAAAAGATTGTAAGGTTTGCAAGCGAAGCTAGCAAAAGGTCTTTGACTTGCCATAGGCTATATTCCCTGAGCTCCTTTGGGTTCCTCTTTTGGATGGGGAATAAATTTAATAAATGAGTAAGCTGCGGTTCTGGGATTTTAAGCACCAAAGTGACGATGGGTATTTCCACAGTTTCTTAGATTTCTGTTGGGGACCCTGTCATAGCTTGCCACTAGGGAACCCCCACTGGGAAATTGGTGAGGCAATGGCTCCACAGAGTAGGGGAGAGAGAACAGGCTTGGGGGCAGCTAGGTCCTGGTCCCCTGAACCAGATATGGGGATCCTGTGGCCCTCCAGATTTTGATGAGAAGACTCCCAGCTCCCATCAGCCCCAGCCAGTGTGGACAGCGGTTGGAGATGATGGGAGTTGTAGTCCAGCAACACCTGGAGGGACCGCAGGTTCCTAAACCCACATCATTAAGCCTCTTTGAGTTTATTTTATAAAGCCAAGTTGGGGTATGTCGTCGTGGCTTCTCAGCAGCTCTGTGGTCACAGGGCCCACTGAGAAAGCAGCCTCTTGAGCCCAGAGAGTCTTCATGATTTTTCTCTTGCCTTACTAGGAGGCCCTTCCGCCAACAGCATCCAACGCGCACCTCAAAGACCTGGACGAGGAGATCTTTGACGACGACGACTTCTACCATCAGGTGGGGCCTTGTGGCAGTGGGCGGAAACTTATAAGCCAAGCAGAAAAAGCTGCAAGCACCTGCCCCCGTGTGTCATTGCCCAGATGTGCTCTGCTTTTCATGCATGTAAATGAACAGCTATCTCGGGCCCACCACCCATTGAGAGATAGCACCTTTCCTTTTTCCACGGGGAGCTCCTTTGTAAAAGGAATTGGAGGGGAGGACTTTTGTAGCTGTATTCCAACATGCGCAGCCTTCAGTGGAGCACATACTCCTGGTGGCAAAAGTGGGTGTGCCCAGACACACTGCTCTCCCTTGAGGCAAGCAAGTGGTGTTATCGCTAGAGTAGGGCGGAAAAAGGGACGCGGGTGGCGCTGTGGGTTAAACCACAGAGCCTAGGACTTGCCGATCAGAAGGTCGGCGGTTTGAATCCCCGCGACGGGGTGAGCTCCCATTGCTCGATCCCTGCTCCTGCCCCCACCTAGCAGTTCGAAAGCACGTCAAAGTAAACGGCGTTTCCGTGCGCTGCTCTGGTTCACCAGAAGCGGCTTAGTCATGCTGGCCACATGACCCAGAAGCTGTACGCCGGCTCCCTCGGCCAATAAAGTGAGATGAGCGCCGCAACCCCAGAGTCGTCTGCGACTGGACCTAATGGTCAGGGGTCCCTTTACCTTTAGGGTGAAGAAAGCGGGGCCAGCGAGCAGCGTGGCCTGGGCAAAGTTTCTGTGCTTGAGTGTCCCCACCCCAGCTTTACATGCTATAAATGGCACACACACACCACAGCCCCAGCAACAAAGTTCTCAATTTCACAGCTTGTAGCCATATAGGATAATATCAACAGTCCTTTTTTTCTTTTTTTGAAAGGCATCTCCTTAAGGCCTAATAATAATAATAATAATAATAATAATAATAATGGTGATAAAGAACCAGGCTTTTTCAGGGGTAGCTTTGTTGGATATTGTTCCCGTTGGCTTACAGATGGACTTAATCTGTTCTTACTGTTGTAAATTTGTATTTTTGTGTCTCCTTCCTTTTTTTTGGTAGACTGCCAGGATGGTTTTCAAATGGTGGGTGGTTTATAAATCATGTAGCATATGTGCACACAGAGAGAGGAAGGAGTAAAAGAAAGAGAGAGATGAACATAGTAGGATGGACACAGAGAAGGGCAGGCAGAATTCTCTTTCCGCAATAGGGCTTTTCAGCTATGAAAGTACTACGGGCGATTTAAGGGCCCTCTGGAACAGCGCTGGGGTGAGACAAGAAATTGGGAGTATTTGGCAGGGGTACTTTGCCCCCTCCTCAGTTAATCAGGGTGCCAGGGTTAATCTAAATTAAAACTAATAGAGGTCTTGGAAGGGAATGGGAGCACCTGACTTTAAAGCAAATGGAGTTGGCAGGATCTGCTTTGTGTGTGGTTGGCCATTTCCCGAAGTGCGAGGGGAGGGCAGTGGGCGCGGAGAAAGGAGCCATGAATGGTGGGTGTGCAAATGGTGGGTGACTCTGTACAAAAGGAGGGAGGAACTGCCTTTGGGGATGACTTACATACCACACGTTCGTCGCTTAGACTTGCTGCTGTTAGGCTGCACCTGCTTGAACAGAGAGCAAGAGGGAGAGGCAGGGGGGGAGAGGAGGACGTTTTCCAGGTGCTGCCAACATCTGGCAGCTCAGCAGGGGCTGGTCCTGACTCCTGGCTACCCTACTGTCTCTAAATACGGTCCTTGGGATGCGTGGGGGCTTCAATCACTTCCCTGGATTTGGCAGCGGGCTGCGACAGCTTATCCATGCCTCATACATCACGCTCAAGACATCTGCTCAGCTGAGAAATACACCTTCGTTTTTCTTTTCTTCTTCTTCTTCTGCTTCTTTTTGCTTCACACACACACACACACACACACACACCCGCCAGCTTCTCTCCCTCCTTTCCAATCCCCAATATGCTTCTTGGGGGAGATGATCTGTTAAAAGATTACCACTTCATTGTGTCCCAAGTAATTGTGGGAATGCTAGGCCACCTTGACAGGCTCTGTGTAGCCGTACCTGTTCCACTGACCTGGCTCATTTTCCTCCTGTTCAGTGGGATTTGGCAAAGAAATTGGACCTGGAGCCTTTTTCGACGACAAGCCTGAAAGGCGAGTCGGGGAGCGGATGCATGTGTTTTCTGCCAGCCTCCGACTTAAAAGCAGCTTCATAAAAGACCTTCCTTTTTTATTTGTTAGGGCTGTGAGCCAGAGCTGGGAAGCTGCTTCTGGGGAGCGAGGGGTTGGAGGGGAAGAGCATAATAATAATAATAATAATAATAATAATTATTATTATTATTATTATTATTATTTTTATTTATACCCCACCCTCCCCAGCCAAGACCGGGCTCAGGGCGGCTAACACCAAATATAAAAACAATTGATCAAAATACAACTTAAACAAGATTAAAACAAAACATTAAAATGCGGCCTCATTTCAGTGGAAACTCAAATAAAAAACTTGTTTGGGGATGAAAACGTCTTCACCAAGGCTAACTATCCAGACTGGTCCTACATGGGCCAGAAAAAAGCCAGGGAAGTCCCCAAATAGGAGTTGCATCGCAGAAGGAGAAAGGAAAAAAGAAAGAGGGGGAGGGAATCAAGTTGGTTCCAAGCCAAAGGCCAGGTGGAACAACTCTGTCTTACAGGCCCTGCGGAACGAAATCAGATCCTGCAGGGCCCTGGTCTCATGAGACAGAGCGTTCCACCAGGCCGGAGCCGGTGTTGAAAAGGCCCTGGCTCTGGTTGAGGCTAATCTAACTTCTTTAGGGCCCGGGACCTCTAGGGTGTTGCTATTTATGGATCTTAAGGTCCTCCGTGGGGCATACCAGGAGAGGCGGTCCCCTAGGTACGAGTTCCTAGGTCGATCAAAGTTGATCAAAGTTGACCCAAGACTAGGTGCTGAATGCCTGGGCCTGCTACTCCCCACATGATCCTATATGGACTAGATGAGCATCATCTGAGCCCCTTCTCTGCATACTTCCTCTTCTGAATGGAGGGATGGAGAGACAAAAAAGGGGCTTTTTTCAGTTGCGGCTCTCTGATTGCAGAGTGCTCTCATCAGGGAAGCACCCCTGGCGCCATCACAGTCAGATTTTAGGCTCACAAGGAAATGAAGAGAGCCCATTTGGATCAGGCCAGTGGCCCATCTAAGTCCAGCATCCTGTTATCACAGTAGCCAACCAGATGTCCAAATGAGAAGTTCGAAAGCAGGGCCTGAGTGTAACAACAGCACTCTCCCCGCTTGCAATTCCCATAAATTGGTACCTACAAGTATCCTGCCTCCAGCTGCGAAGGAAGAGCACAGCTGTTGTGGCTGGTAGCCATTGATAGTCCTCTCCTCCAAGAATTTGTCTATAATCGTATTTTAAAGACATTCAGCTTGCTGGTCGTTGCTGCCTCTTGTGGCAGCGAGTTCCGTAGTTCAACTATGTGCTCTGTGTGATGAAGGGACTTTCTCCTTTCTGTCCTGAATCTTCCAGCATTCAGCTTCATTGTATGTCCACAAGTTCTTTTTTTTTATAAAATATTTTATTAAATTTTCAAATACACAGTAAATAATATACATACGAAATCCCTTCACCAAAGAAATAATACACAAAAAAGTCAGAACAAGTACACCAAAAAGCAATATAGAAAGAAGGAAATAAGAAAGAAGTAAAATAAAAAGATTTAAAAAAAACCCCAACCATTCAATACAATTTTTTTATATAACTAACTGGACTTCCTCACATCTCCTTTACCCTGCATTATTTATAATAAAAATATCAGCAAATTATTACCTTGTTTCATACCTTATTTTATACTTTCCAAATATTATACTTCTAGATTTAAAGTAATTTTTATCAGTTACTCATACCTTAAATAGTGTTGCCTTAACTTTCGACCTTTTCTTACTTATAATTTAATTTTCTGTTTTACAAAATCTATTCGCTGGAGCTGAAGTTTTCTGAATCGTGCAAGTACTTAACATTCATACAACTTATATTGTTTTTGTAAATAGTCCTTAAATTTCTTCCAGTCCTCTTCCATTGTTTCTTCTCCCAAATCTCGGATTCTGCCAGTCATTTCAGCCAATTCCATATAGTCCATCAATTGCGTCTGCCACTCTTCCAGTGTGGGCAAGTCTTGTGTCTTCCAATGTATGTCCACAAGTTCTAATGTTAGGAGAGAGGGTGAACGTTATTTTATCTCTCCACTTTTCTCCGTGGAGTGTGCTCCTGAATCCCAGGCATCACAAGCAGGGAGAACACTCTTGTGCTTATGCTCACCTGGGGTGTCTGGTTGGCCTGAGAACAGGATTGCGGAATTAGGCGGCCTCTTCTTAGGTCCTTAATTTCTGCATCTTTTAACTACTTGAGCACTTCCAGCTCTGATTTTGCAGGCACGTGTCGTGTACAAAACGGAATTTAAACAAAGCAACTTCAGTGTTTTTGTGGTGCACGCACACACACACACGAGATTTCTGATAATGCCATGCAGACAAGTAATTACAAAATCTGGCAAACTATTACAAGTCAATAATGGTGAAAAATGGAAAGAGGAAGTGGGCTTTTTTCCTCCTCCTCCTTCTATCCTGACAAGTTGGTTTACCTTAATTAAACTGGTGAGCGATTAATATGGACAGTTGATCTTGTGGCTCTCATTAGATGCATTTAGAGGGTGTCTCCCCCCCCCCCCGAAAATAGGAGCTGCCTGCAACCATTCCATAGGTTAATGGCAATACAATAATCTTATCATAGGCATGTGTCTCTGGAATGGCTGAGTAGGTGGTTAATAGCACGTTTTTAAAGCTTGGTTTGGGGGCTCCTCTTAATGGGTTACTAAGAAGAGGACACGTCGTCTTTTCTGTTGCTTTTCACAGTTACACAGTTTTCCACAGCGGCATTCTTTATATTTTATTTTTTTGCGGGTCGTTGCTGAGCTGGTGGTAGATGTAATTAATGCCTAACCTTCAGCAGCTGTGGATCGGTGTTGGTATATTCATGGTGAAGCTGTCATTTA